CCCCTCGCTGTCCCGGCGGGCGGGGGGCGCCGGGGGGGCTCCTGCCTCTCCGCCAGCCACATTGTGGCGTGCTGCCCGCGGGATTTGGGCCCGGGGGGGTCCCCTGCGCGCACAAAGCCGCGGCGTTCCGGCTGAGGGAGGTGCCTGGGCACCTCCTGGCTGGTAGGGGTTTGGCCTAGGCGTCTCTCAGTGCCTTGGAGGCAAGGTCCTCCTGGGTTTCTGAGCCCCACATACGGTGCAGGGGCAAAGGGAGCACCTGCCCTGCCTGGCAAGGGGCACATAGGAAAGTAGGGCTGGAAGGGACCTCCAGAGGCATAGGTGACATGTAGGGGGGAGGCCGGAGAGCGCTGGTGGCCCCCCTGACAGTGAGTGCTCCGGCTGGTAGTTGCCGACTGGAGGGTCTAGTCACCTCACAGGGATCGCAGCGCGTGCTGCAACTTTCTAGAATTGAAATGAGGTCTAGTGAAAGTTGATGTGCGTTTGTATAGTTTTGAAACTGGAAGGTAGAATAATATACCCTGCTGAAGCTTCCTGCTTTCTGGTCAGTATTTTCATATTCGCAATGTGTTGTACTTAGATTGAATAGCTGTGATTTATATTGTTTTGTGGACCTGCATGATTAGCCCCAGTTTCACCCCTCTTCAAAAACTGTTGGTATCAACATATAATGTTTCGGCTGGCCTCTTCTACATGGCTTTGTTGTTTTCTTTTTTTTGAGTATTGCTTCATGTCATTTGCTTATGCAGTTCAGCTGTTTTAAATAAGCTGTTCCTGTAAGTGACAGAAAGTGGGAACAATTTAAAAGCAAATTTTAGAACGGCGGGGAAGGGGAGACGGGCTAACTTTTTTTTTCTCTTTTCCTGTCAAATGAGAGAAATCTTATGTTTTGCGTGCTGCAGACTTAAAGATCAAAGACTTGGTTTAAAGCGTAGGCTTTCTCAGACTTACTTATTTGAAGAACAAAGGGCTAATGAAATTCCTGTAAAGGAATGGGACTTCATGAATTCTTCTGTTGTCTGAAAATACAAAATACATTGCAATTTTTTAAATTTAGGGTACTAGATATTGAGAAATGTATTGAAATAACTAAGGCCATCCAAAAAATTGGGCTTCAAACCTTGACTTATACACCGTGAAATATGGTAATTTTGTTATATCCTGGATATAACTCTTGGGTTTATTCAGGTTGTAGGACTGGTTTTACTTGTAACTGCAGAGTTTACAGCTGTTTACAGCTGTCAAAAAATGTAGTTAATTTTAGTAGTCATTTTTACCTTGACTTATTAAAGTGTTTTCTCTAACAAAAGTTACAGAATCATTACAACCACTGCAGAAATCATTCGTAAGCTTTTCTATGTACTATTTGCATCTTATCACTGCTTTTCCAGGTATCTGTACATAAGTATACATATCTGTACATAAGTAGAAAGTATAGTAGATGAGTTTCTCTCTTCAGGAAGCTCAGTATTTTAAAGAAGTTTGGATGCTGTAAACTATGCTTAAAAGTGGAGTGGCGGTATGTGTCTATGTTCTAAGTACAGCTGAATGGTGTGTGCACCCACTACAGTATTGGGTTCCACCAGGCCAGCCACTGAGCTAACAAGAAGTAAAGTGAGAGCAAAGGAAAAGACCCTACCAGAGAGATTTTTTTAAAAGTTATCTGCAAGTTAATTCAGTTCATTAGAGCTTCCTGCTTCTTTTGCCCTCCACTGTTTGGAGGAGACTCCTTTTTTATCTGGTAAAAGGACTGGCCAAAAAGCTGCAATTCAAATATGAATCAGAATTTGTGGTAGGCGGAGTATTTTTTATGATATTTTAATCAACTAGATTTTCACAAAAAAAAAAAAAAGATATCACCTTTACCACAAGTTCTGATTCCTTTTGCCTCTAGACCAGTACGGCTGCAACCTGGATACCAGACTCAATTTAAATATTGCTCTTGCTGTGTACTTTTAGATCCACCTGCTGGCGCCTGTCATCACTGGGTAGTATTTGTGGAGATGGGGCTTTGGGTAGTATTTGTGGAGGTGGGGGTAGTTGCTGTGGAGGTGGGGCATTGGGTAGTATTTGTGGAGGTAGGGCTGTGTGAAAATTTCCCCAGCGTTTCGAAGCTGCTTCGATGTGTTTTGAGCTCAAAACAGCGAAATCAAAACGAAATAAAAGCCTTCGAAACAGCTTCAAAATGAAACAAGGGAACTTGAAACATTTAGAACGTTTTGAAACATTTCAAGTTTTGAAGCCAGGCTTACTGGCTTCAGTGCTGGTCCCAGCTGGCAGTAGCCGCCTCCTGTCATCCAGCAGGCAAATCGGGGGTTCACCTGCACCCCAAGGAGGTGACTGAGTACCCCGTTGCACAGTTTTGGTCATGTACTCTCTGCTGGATACTTGTCAGGCTACTCTGTTTGGTTTCCAGCTTAGATCTGTGTGGGGTTTTTCTTGTATTTCCGAATGTGCAGTCCAGGCACCATCTCTGACTCTGTCCCTAGATGCACTCTTCTCCTCATCACTGGGACATAACACCCAGCTGCTCATGTTGGCTCATTGATGTGAGGTGCTTCCATTTGAATAAAGGATCATCATCATCAAGGCTTAAAAGGAGTGCTCAACCTCTGGTCTATGGGCCAAAGCCATGTTGTCCAGCCTACAGGGCTCCCCAGGGGTTTGAAAATTTTTGGTGGTAGGGGAACAGCAGTTGCTGTTGCCAAATTTCCAGACCTATCAGGAGCCTCATATGCTGGATAATGTGGCCTTGCATGACACATTGGTCTAGTGCACAGCTGGATCGGGCCAATGGATCTGCTCCAGTCATTGACCCTGTGCCACTCATTTAGTCTATGGGGCTGGATGGTTGGGCACTACTGAAGGTTTAATGAGCCTTCCTTTGTTAGCATAAAATCAACAGAAAAGGCACAGAATAACAAATTTTGGGCACTACTACACTAAACAAAGTGTAATGATCCTTGGAGTATTAGTCCAAGATGACAGTTAAAATCAACAGAAAAGGTACAGGCCAGCCTTGAACTAAAAATGCAACGTTTAGCTTGATATAGGCATGCATAAAAGGTTAATGATTTGAGACAGTTTTCATAAGTTGGATAGAGGCTCTTCAAATTGTTGCGCTCTTTTTCAAGATGGAATGTCTTGGTTTCTGGCGTATGTTGTTCAACTGCAGGGAGCCCCAGGGCAGCTCCGCTTTCTCCCCACACCATTTCTGCAGTTGTTTCACTAGGCTTGCTGTGAAGAACCTTAGGAGGAATCTTCTCTTGTGGCACAAGAAGGTTTTGGACCAAAGGGAGTGTTGCCCCCTCTCTGTGCGACAGACTGCTGCGGTTTGGATCAAGGACCAGTACTCTAGTGGGAGACCTCTCAGTATAACAATGAACTTCTTGCAGGGGGGTTATCTGTAAGGGTTTCTTGTTTTTGGGACTTGCTTAGCACAGCTGGATATGACAGATGGGGCTCTATTTAATGTTCCAGGGATGCTGTACAACCAACTGTTTTTACTGTGTGGTTATACTTATGGGCCAGACAATCCTGTTAAACGGGTGTGTGTGTGGGTGTGTGTGTGGGTGTGTGTGTGAATGTGAACCTGTGGGATGACCATCTACACTCTGAGAGATGTGTGGGTTTCTTTTCTTTTTTTAAACACATTCAGAAAACCTTTCTTTTCTTCTCTGCAGATAGAAAGGATCATTTAAGACAATATTTAACATCCCTATGAGCAGGGAGTATGAATACATTAAAAAGTACTGGATAGTACCAGGGTTCGAATTACACTACGACTCTTGGGGGTGGGATCTGCAGTGGCAGAAATTGGAAGGAGCCGCCGCTGCCTGAGCTGCTTAGAAAGGCGCGGGGCAGGCCAGGAGCTCTCATCTCTTAATGGGGGGGAGGCAGGCTCTTGTCTCTTATGGGGGGCTCAGTTCCCCTGAGCCCCCTCCCCTTGTATTTCGAACCCTGGATAACTGAGTGGAGTCATACATGTCTTTCATGTGGACTGTGTGTTTCAGCCATGGTTATCTCTGCAGTTCTGTTTCTGCAGCAGCAGACGGATTTTATTTTTAGAAAGCAAAATATTATTTAGAACCAAGTCATTTAAAAAAACCCAACATATTTTAAAGGAGGTTAGACCATTTGCCTTCCACGTGGGGATTCTGGTAAGTTTACCCTTCCTGTTCACACTATCTCCATCTACCCCAGCCTCTGAAATCTGAATGGCATGGCTGGTTGACTCAGAAAAACACTTCACTGACTAAATGAGGAAAAAATGCCTTCAAAAGCTGCTCATGATCCACCCAATCCACAGGAATCAAGTTACCAGTTAGTGTTTCTTTCATCTGTAGGCTCACCACCGTGCCTGGAGAGCTGTGCAACTTCACCGTGGAGGGTGGAAGTAGCACCTTGTCTTGTATTTTACCCCTGACTGTTTGGTAACACCATCATATTTGAGAGGCTGCTTCTCTAGAACTGCTCTGTTGCTTTTCTGCTTGTTTTTCCTACAGCAGCCTATTAAAATAGACTAACATGTTCTTAGAGGGGAAGTCTGATAATCTGATATGGTTTTATTTACTTAACTTCACTGACAGCATCTCATATATAATTACTTAATCTCCCCAACAAGGTCATGTATGATCTTTATAACATTTTTACATAGCAGCTCCATGTGTACTTGAATGAGTATCATGGGCAGACTGTAACAGATGCACCCCGCCTAAGTGGGGAAATGGTTCTGAAACACAGATATTGAGTGGCAGGCCAAAAATCCCAGTAGGCAGCTTGTGAAAGAGACCACAGGGCGTTAGAGTAGAAGGGGTGAAGTGCATATTAAAAATTTGGTATGGCAACCAAGAAAAGGAAGTTCAGGTTTGAACTGCCAAGTTCTCATGTCATGGAGCAGA